TATCTATCTATCTATCTATCTATCTATCTATCTATCTATCTATCTATATATATATATATGTATATATATATATTTATCTATCTATCTATTTCTACTTTTGTCTGAATATCTGCCCCTTTTAGCACAAAAAAGACTAGAAAGAGGATGAAAAGGGGGTTTGGGGCTTTCAGCTCAGAGAACCAGATCTGAACACCCCTCAGTGAGAGTGGGATCTGCTGCTGAAAGCTGAGCTTTGACTCCCAGAGAACCTCTGACATGAACTCGCCTGATTCCTGTAAATGGAAAAGCTCTCGTCTCTGGTCGGCTTCAAACCAGGCAAACCAGTTTTTATCAGATCCTGAAAAAACAGACACACCTTCAGACTGCATTTTGAGAAGGCGGAAGCAGGATGAAGTGTTAACAGTCTTGTTATTTTCCTGTCAGACTCGGGTGAGTTATCTATGCAAGCCCATTTCCGCCATGAAAGAAAAAATAAAAGCCACACAAAAATTCAGAATTTCGACTTTTAAAGTCATAATTTAGACTTTCGAAGTCTAAATTATTACTTTGAATCTCATAATTCTGACTTCAGAGTCGAAATTAGAACTTTGAATCTCATATATAGGACTTTGAAAGATGAAATTATGTGTTTAAAATTCAAAATTATTACTTTTTGTCGGGCTTTTATTTTTTCTTTCATGGTGGAAATGAATGCATAACTTGCATAGCTTTCTTTTTGCAGACTTTGAGGAAGAGGTGTCTGAGTTTAGGGCTGAGCTTAGGGCTTTGTTTAAAGCATTGATCACACCGCTCTGACACAAAGAACTGATCCAGCTCAGGTTTAAAAGTTCAGTTCATGCCGGGTCAGTTTTCTGGCTCCCTGTTTAGCTCAGACTGCAGGATGTGTGGCAGCTGATGGTCTCCTCTCTTTGAATCTGCGCCACTGCTGGCAGACGCGTCTCTGTGAGGACATTCCTGCTCCTGAATCATTTCAGAAGACGATGAGACGCCTCACCGGAACCTGGATCAGAACTGAAGGAGACTCCTGACAGAACGGGAAGCACTGAAGTCCAGAAGATGGAGGGAGCAGCATCCGGCCGCCTGTCTCCGAAAGGGGACCCATCCCAACCTGCCTCCCTCCGAGGACCACCACACCCAGAGTAAGACGGCTGCTCATGGGGGAGGGGGGCGGGCCTATTTCTGTCTGTTCTTCATTTCATAGGCAGACAAACTGAAACCTTCTGACTCTCCACAGAAAAGAGAAGGAAGAAATTGCCATGCGACCATTGGCCTTTTTCCCATGTGACCAACAGCCTGTTTGTGTTTGCAGACTAAGAGCAAAGTATCCAGAACCCGACTGTCTGTCTGTGAAGAGTCACCGGTCCAAAAATGAGCCCCCAGACCTCCAAGATGGACCTGGACCTTCAGACACAGAGTAAGAGAACAAACACAGAGAACCCACACAATCTTTTAATATTCCTGTTTGAAAAAAAGACTCTAAGGTCTAAAATGTAATAATGAGAAAAATGAACGAGAGTCAAAGCGAGTGAATCCAGCTGGAAGTGGAAGACATTTATATAAGGTATGGAGATGGTGACCATATTTTCATTTACAAAAAAGAGGACACTTTTCCCAGCATCCAGTTGGATTCAGACAGGCTTCAGATGTTAATGAACATGCTTTATTGTACGTCAACGGTACAAAAGAACTCCGGTAATAAAAAAACAATCTGTAACAACCAGTCGAAAAATCAAAGCCCTCCTTTAAAAAACATAAATAAAAATGTTCTAAATATGACCTTTTCTGTATTAGAAAATAAAGCTTTAACTAAATACCACTTAATACGCTCTGAATGTGATAAATGAAACAGTCTCACATTGAAACAAACTCAACAAACAAAAAGGATGTGTACTAAGTTTAGATCCTTTTCGTGGGCCCATAATGCTTAAATCGACTGGCACTTTGCACAGAATACTACGGTACTTTGTTGCCCAACGCAATGTGCTGTTTCTGTCTCCAACTCATCTCTGAAACTGGAACACAGGAAGACGAAAGATTCTGATACACTGCAGCCGTTTGTCTTCTCAGAGCTTCTGGATCAGTGAAGACAGTGTCTAAGGGATGTGAAGAGCCTGTTTGTGTTTGCAGACCAAGAGAAGAGTATCCAGAACCCGACTGTCTGTCTGTGAAGAGTCACCGGTCCAAA